CCCTAGGCAACCGCCTAGTTTGCCTTAATGGTAGCACCGGCCCTGCTGGTGGAGGGTTGGTTGCAGTAGCAATAGTAGTAGTAGGAGGTGGTGGTGGTACTCGAGGAATGGAATGTGTTTAGGAAAGGAGAGCTTGGTGCCTGCCTGTAAGTAGCTTGGAAGCACCAGAGCATTCCCTGAAGCCACTGGAGTAGTAGCAGATAACCAGGAGGAGAAGCAGTCCAGGAAGAGTAGAGTGCACCCTAGCAAGGAACCTGAGGCACTGATGCACCCAGCTAGGTTCCAGACTGAAATAAGACATTCTGTCTAGGTGCTTTAGTTGTGGGTGGAGCTGTGGTGGTGGGCAAAGCTTTGGAAAGTAAAACCACCTATTTTTTCCAATCTGGCCCCTGACAATGATTTGATGCAACAAAAACCAATTTTTTTGTTCATTTGGAAAAAAAAAAAAAACCTGTAATACACACTTTTTACAAATGCTTAAAAGAAGTATTAAAAAGTAACCCTAAAATACTGCGCTGTTGATGTGCATACATAAATTCAGCTAATGCTAATTAATGAGTTGTGTGCTTGAAGGGAATAGACTTTTTTAACTGCAAAGAATGTGAAATCATTGCAGTTAAAATAGCATTAATATCTAGTTTTTGATTATGTATATAAAAGTAGTCTGACCTCATTGGGAACTGTAATGGAGACATTTATATCACAATGCCTTTGATGTATACATTGGCAGCTGAAGAAATGTGTAGCAAGAGAACTCACATGGTTTAACAGTGTAGGCTATAAATATTCGTTCCAATGGAAATAGCTTATTTTATTTCCATAGGGTTAGGGTAGGCAGATAAATTAATGTGTAAAAAGAGTCATAGCAAGTAAGTTGAAAACCACTAGCTCATTTTGAACCTTAAATTATTTGCCAATTAAAACTTTTTATGGAAGATAAAGTCCATTATTTTTAATAGTAATATTATAACTTCCTGTCCTTCCATTCTGTTGTAATGAAGCGTGTATGTTTGAGCTGTTTCCTTGGTACTTGAGATAATTTACCCCCAATCTATTATAATCTTGTTAATGATATAAAGTATTGGAGTATATACAACAGACTTTGTACTGTGCACATAGGGGTGTTGAAGGAGGACTTGTCTTTAAGAGCTCTTAATAAAGCATTGGAACGATTATGGAATTCTTCCAGCCTGGTGGTTCTGTTGTCCATAGTTTTTTATTCCATAGATTTCCTTCTCACTCTGCTCTGAATGAGTGGTGTCTCCTCAGTACGGATGTCTCCTGCAGGATTCCCTACTGGCTTTGGTACTTTGGCACCCAGCTGTGTAGAATCAGATCGTTGACAAATATATAACTGCAAACAAACTCTCTATGCACTACATGACTATTGGCTCTAAAGATAGTTTGAATATATAGTAAAAGCTGTGCTCTAGAAACTGGCATTTCTGATATCTCCCAATACAAATCTTCAATAGGGTTGCCAGGTGTCCGGTTTTCCACCAGAACACCCAGTCGAAAAGGGACTTTGGCGGCTCCAGTCAGCACTGCTGACCGGGCCATTAAAAGTCCAGTTGGTTTGGGATCAGCAGGTTTCCTACCTGGCTCCACATGGCTCCCTGGAAGCGGCAACATGTCCCTGCTGCTCCTACGCGGAGGAATGGCTATGGGGGCTCTATGCGCTAACCTGGCCTTCCTCGAGCTCTGGCTTCACAGCTCCCGTTGGCCTGGAATCATGGCCAATGGGAGCTGTGGGGGCTGCACCCGTGGGCGGAGGCAGCATGCAGAGCCGCCTGGCTGCACCTCCACCTAGGAGCAGCAGGGACATGTTGCCACTTGAAAGGAGCCGCCCGAGGTGAGTCACCCGGATCCGGCACCCCCGACCCCCCTCCCGCACCCCAATCTCCTGCTCTGATCCCCTTTCTGCATCCAAACTCCCTCCCAGAGCCCACGCCCTGCACCCCTCCTGTGCCCCAGCCCTGAGCCACCTCCCGCACCCAAACTCCCTCCCTCCATTGGTAAGTATAACTCCTAGTTAACTGGAATTTTTGACTGTCACCCCCCATTTCCCCAACATGCCGGATAACAAAGCTTTTCCTGTTGTTAGTGTTTATAGGGTGCTTAATAGATCTGAAGGGTTCAGTAGCCTTATTGTGCCCTGAATAATTGTACAACTTTACCTGATTTTGGCTTCAGAACCAATACTGTAGGATTAGAAGTAAATCATCTAACTGAAAGAGAATGGCTAATAGCATACATTGTTCAAAATTGTTTATTGTTGAAGAAAATGAAGAATAGGTAACACTGGTAAAGTACAACCCTAGTGTAAGCAGATATTGTACAATTCATACCACTACTTCTTCAGTTTAATTATGACCTTCTAACATTTCTTACTATTTTGTTCCAGGGTATCACCTCAGGTTAGACTCTCGGCCCCTTTAGTGATATTCTCATAAAGGCGTTATTATTAATTTGTTTTCTGATAGTGCCTAAATGCCCCAAATCAGGATCAGGACTCCGTTGTACTAGGCAAGTACACAATGTGACAGAAAGTCCCTGCCCCAAATTGTTTACAATGTTAACAGAAAAGATAGACAAGCGCGGGGAAAAGATGTAGCATATAAGCAGAGTGATGGCTGGTAAACACCATGTTAATTCCTTTTTTATAAGTTTCCCTTTTTAAAAGTATATATAGTGGGTTATAGTGTGAGCAGGGGGACAGGATGAATTAATAAAGCATAGGAGTGAAAAAAAGGAAGACTAATATGGAGAGGGTAGGGAGGGGGAAGGTCAGAGAGGAATATGGCGAGCATAAAGAGTGAAGTTGCAGCAGAGACACACTGAGGAAAGGGTTGAGGTGGTTTGAAGAAAATGTCTCGCAATCAGCAAGCAAGAAAACATGTCTAGAATCAAAAAAGGGGGGAGGAGGGGGAAAGAGGAGGATGGAGAGTTGGTCAGGAAGTTCCAAAAGTTCTGGTAATAGTGCTGCTTCGAGTTCTAGGTGAGCTAATGGAGTCTCTTGGCTTCAAGGGGCTGACTCCACCTCCAGTTCGTCTCCCAAATTGGACTGGCTGGGGCTGGGCAGGGAACTAACTATATGAACCCTAGTGCACTGGGTGTGGGGGGACCCCAGAAGGGGATCCCCACTTTGTCTGGGGGTAGTGAGAAGCACAACCCCAGTTGCATTTTGTTTTTAAAATCTGCTGTAGAATCAGTCAAAACTATTCCTATTAATCCTCTTAATTTGATAATGGTTTCCATTGTAGAAAAATAATTTAAATTTTGTCACCTTAAGCTGGGAATAAAGGAAATTCAAAATCAGAAAAATGAAGGAAACAGCATCTTGGGGGAAACAGTGGTGTTCTTCTCAGTTGTCCTAAGGATGCAAGTCATGCTTTGTTGCTGTTCATAGCTAGCAAATTCATCATTTGGCAGCACCCATTTGAATTTTGTCACTTCCCTAAGTACACTATGGTTTGATCTGTTTTGAATGACTGAGAATCAACAGCTTGCTATGATTCATATTATTAAATTTATTTCTATCTCATCCAGTGTATTAATAAAATGTCTTTTGCCTGATCACCTGACACTTTCTTTTATTACAGCTCTTTCAGTTATTTAGTGGACTGCCACTATTTGACCTGAAAGAAAGAGGACTTTTGCAACATTGGTCATAATTAGTTTGTCCAAATTAAAATTGAAAGAAAAAGCTAATGTCGGCAGTGAATAACTTTGCAAAAGATCATTGGCCTGAACAAAAAGTACTTGAAATTTTTAATATATTTGAATGTTTAGTGCCTGATCTGTTTGAATTTTCATTCAGGTTTTAAATCTACACTTTGAAGTTATTTAATGAATTTAAACAAAAACACCTGCGTTTTCTGTTTTAGAAATAGAAAAAGTAAATTCTCCCCAGCATATCAACTCTTCAGATTGTGGTATAAGACTAACTCTGCATGCCTAGTAATCAGTTGCTTTAATTAAGGCTTTTGGTTACTTGTATCTTGCATTGTAATTACGTATTGCAGAATACAAGGCAAACTTGAGCCAGCTAACACTTTACCATTGGTGTCTTCTTCCTCTGCCTTTAACAGTTAGATAACTGAAAAATCCCCCAACAGGTTTTCCAGTTTCTAATTGCACAGACATTTTTGTAGAGGAAAGAAGTACATGGAAGATAGGCTTCCACATTTGGCATTCTTTCTTCTAGATTTGAACTCTCACTTTCTTTCTCTCTCTTTTTTTTTTTTTTCTTTTTCCCCTTTCTGTTTTGCAGCCATAGACCTTTTGTATGGGGGTATATACTGCTTTATGTGTCAAGATTACATATACGACAAAGACATGGAACAAATTGCCAAAGAGGAACAACGGAAGGCTTGGAAATTACAAGGTTTGGTTTTCCTGCCTGAATTTCTTATTTGTTTTTAATCATACCTGTCCCTCCCATTTGTCAATGGCAAAAACCAGTAAGGGGAAGAGAGAGATCTTTAGGGACAGTAGTGCAGATTGTGGGAGAGAGATTTATAGATATTGCTATCCAGGAGCTAGACTGTTAGTTTAATATGTGCACCACACTAAATTATAACAAAATTTTATTTTTTTTAATTGCAACATAATATAAAATCCTCTATCATGATCATGGACAACTTACCTAATTGTCATCAGAGTGAGATCTATATCAGGTAGAAAATGTAACAATCTACCTCTTAGACTATCTTAGGTATCTCAGGCAAGAAATCTGTTCCCCTCACATGAAATGCCACCTTTGTCTGTGATTTTTTTATAGAATGTGCCAGCTTACATACACACACTCATCTTCTGATTGTACACACACAGTATATGTGTAAAGATATTTACACACAAATATATGTACACACATTTGTTTTGTTATTCAGTTTGCTTTCCCTAATTTTTTCTTTTTTAGCCTTCACCCCAACAGTGGTTTCTCACTACCAGTGTACAATGACAGGTAAGAGGCGTGGGCTGGCGACGCACTTCACTAACAAGCGTCCCTTTGCTGATTATCCTGCCATGTTAGACATGAATCATGGTTAAGAATGCCAGTTTCATAATGCAGATTGTTTTCCTCTTCTTTTGGTTATGTTCCAGGGATCCAGTAATAATAATGTATTTAATTTCCCATATCCTTCCCTTGATTGAGCTACTCCAAAGCAAATGTTTTCCTTTTTTTGGAGGGGAGAGGACGTAGAGATTCTCTTAACCAATCTGAGTAGTGTTTAAAGGATCTCTTGTGGAAGCTTAACATCTTCCATTTTCAATGGTTCCTAGAAATGTTTTTTCTTAAAGTGGGGAAGTCTGTTTTTGAAGGCAGACCGTTTATACCCAATTATACACTGCTCTTAATGAATCTATGGCATCCCTTTCCAGTGTGATAGACCTAGCCAGGGGCTGAAATGCAAATAAACCATTCCCACCCTCACTTTAAGACATTTTTTAAGAGTAGCAGCTGTAGGTATATTAAGCAGACCTTAACTGGAACATTCTTGGAGTATCATGAAACAACAGCTGCATATTGATTTATCCAAAAAAACCCACCAGATTCTCCTTTTTGCCCCTTACTAGAGTATTTTGAAGCAGTTCAGTCAGGAAGGGAAGGTAGTAGAGGATCTTAGAACAAGAAAATCATGGCATGAAATGCTTTCCTGCAGAGTATTTTGTTGCAATTATCTGGGAAAGTATTTTTAAACCTTGCATTTGGTCTGTGCTCCTCTATCTTTAATAACTCCTCAAATCTGTTTAAAATTTGCTATCTTGAGCCCAAGAGTTAATCAACTACAAGAGCAAAACAGTTGCTCAGGACATAATAGGCATTTTATGGACTTTTCCTCTCCTTCATTTTAATGAGTAAATTCAAAGAGCATTTTCTTAATTTCGCTGTCCCCAGGAACAGTATCTCTGTACTTTCTGAACCAAGACACACCAGTCTGCCTTCCAGCAGATGTTAGCGTTTTTAGAACAGTCCAGAAAGAGTTATGTACCACGTTTTCAGACGCAGGAGTCCAAAACAGGAATAAATTGTTAAGATATAAAATGTAGCTACTTCTGTTCCTGAATTTAAATTACAGGAATATGCAGTATAGATATTTTCTTTAAAGCTGTGGCATAGGACTCTCCATTTAAAATGTTCAATTTTGTAACTTTCCTTTGTGATGCAATTCACTTATCAGACATTTGTTGAGGAATGCTGAAAACACATGCATACTGGAGGGACAGTAGAGAATTGTCTTCTCCCCATCCACAAGAACCTGCACTGTACAGTGGTTCATGTCATTTAAAAGACAGCAGAGTTATAAATAATCTCCAAATAGAATGCTAGAGTTAACAATACTGCTCAGAAACTGTTTGAATGTCTCCATCCTCCACTGCACACTTCAAATTATGAGATGGGCTTAAAATTGCAGAAGTTTAAGAATAGTAAATTCAGGTTTGCCTTCTGGTTTTTGTGTCTTTAGAGTTCACATTTTCAATCTTTTCTCCACAATCATGAGAGCTAGAAACTTTTTAAAAGAAGGCTGAGATTCTAATGTAATAACATGACTCCAGGAAAAGAGAAAAACGCCAAATATCACAAGACTTGTGATTAAAATTTTTAGAGTTGGAAACACTGGAATAATATCAGAACAAGTTTGAAGACAGGACGTTCTGGGTAGCCAGACACACAAGTCCAGCCATAGTTCAAGATTAAATCCTCAATTCTTAGATGCAACTATGAGCAACAAAACAGTGTTAATGTTGTAATTCTCCCATATTTCTCAAGTATTGAATGTTTGCATATTTAATGGTGAGGAGAAGAAAATGTATTTGGGTATTCTGTGTGTCTCACCTCCTAACTAATGTTCAAAATCTGGATTTACTTCAGAATACCAAAGTCATTAATCTGTATTAAAGAGTGCTTGCAAAATAAGGTGGGTTTTTTTTTAATTTAAAAAACTAGAACCCAATAAAGCTTCTGAAAACTCTAAATACCTAGATATATGGCCATTCATTAAAATACCTAAATAAACTTTAAAACGATTCCTGAATGGAGAGCTCAAGATCTCATATGCCAAGATGCAATTCTAAATAGCTGTTTTACCTGTGCCAGTGGGAGCCGCGGCAGGTAAATCGGCCCGGCCCGCCAGTGGCTTTCCCTACGCCAGTGGCGTCCCAAGTTTGGGAAACACTGCCCTTAACCATAAGTGGTAATTTGTACATGCCTTGAGATTTTCAGTCTATTTAAGATTGTTCATGTTGCAGATGTTAGTGCACTCTTGTGTATTTTCATGCCCCTGCCCCGCCATTCCTGGAAAAAATGCGAACCACTGCCAAAGAGTGGAATCAATCTTTCCACATGTTTTGGGGGCACACCTCAATTTTCTCCTTACATTTTATAAAAAGAATAAATGTAAAGGGAACAGGAAATCTTTGAATCTGCTTCCTTCAGCTCCCTATCTCTGCTTTAAACTCTAATGCGGAACAAAACTTGTGACCTTTCTGATGAGAGGTTTCCTGTAAGAGAGATGTCACACCTGTTTTGCTCTTGATGTTTGTCCTGGCATTTAACTTTTGTGTGTGTGGTTTGTTTTTTTTAATTACTATTTAAACAAGACTTGATTGCTTCACCCAGAATCCTGCAAAGCTGTCAGATCTCTTTTATTTACCTTGACTACTTTAAAATTACTTGAGGACTCAGATTCGCTATTAAGCACTTGGATCCCAAACCTACAAACACTCACGCAACATGCTTAACTTTATACGTATAAATAGTTCCATTGACTTGTGTGGGACTATTCACATGCATAAAGTTAAGCCACTTTTGTGTGCAGGATTGGGGCTTTAGTGTTAATATTTTCACTCTTATGCAATAAACCAATATTTTACATATTGGATGTGTTTGTTTATTTTTTGAACAGTCCCATTAAACAATTAACCAAAGTCCTGTACAGTACCTATTGACAAACTATACTAAATTGGCTTGGTCATTTTTAAATTGTAGCATAACTGAATTTTAGAGTTACCAGGCTTGCAACTGGCCAGTCCAATAGCTGATAGTACTAAAACGTTGGAAATAATATAAAATTCTGACAGTTTGCTTGCAAAACCGTTTGTTATAAATTAATACAGAAATATTGTTAATCTGAAAAGATTTGCTGAAGCTGTCTATTGAAAAGCTTGTTGCAAGCCAATGTTCTGTCATATGTGGACTGTCCATATGTGTGTCTCTGTAATGCTGCTTCATTCAGCATTTGCCTGTGCATACTGTATAGTGTATTCAAAGCATTGCAGCTGTTTAATCTCCTCAATCTGTTACATGGTAATTAGTTTCCCTTTTTATTTTCCTTGTATTTTCCATTAATGCTGAACCTTGGGGAAAGGGAAGGGGTGTTTGTTAGTTCTTGTGCTCTTTCATTAAAAATTGTTGAGTCAAATATAGTAAAGAGATCTATGAATCTACGTAGATTTGAAGTTTGTTGTCCTCATGAATCCAAGAATGAGACCTCAGTCATATGCAGGAACCTTGAGGGTCAAGAGTAACTATGACTCAGACATTTTGGATGGGTAACTTCTGACAGGCAGAGCTATTTCTGAAAATGAAGATCAAAGAGCTATTAAAAATGAAACATGTACCATGCAGAATGTGTAAGCCTCCAGCTACATTTTCTACTCTCCTTCTTTTCATGTGTATGATTTATAATTTATTTTCTCTAGCACAGTACTGTTTCATCGATATGCATTCTGCACAGAATAAGATGAACTCTAATTGACTTTAATCCTCAATTTTAGAATAGATTGCCTGTCCTTTTTTTTTTTTTAATGCCAAAATGCTTTTGTGACTTACTATAACTGGCCTTGCATAGCAATTTCTCTCTTTGCTGCATAGAATGCTGCAGCAGCCTTTAGCTGGTCAGCTCTTGGGTCTTTTATTGTTGCTGTAGTTTTCATATTTCAGATGATACTGTAGACACCTCTGTGCCCACATCTAATCTGTTCTGCTGATTACTGGCTCTCCTGACCCCCCCCCCCCCCCCCCCCAGTCCCCCAAACAAAATAAACGTTTTTGAAACATAGCATTGGGGGCTTTCATTTTAAGAAAATAATTAATATGACAAATTTCAACTATGGCTCTAGAGAAAATAAGGTTTTTCTCTGGGTAGTGGGGAGTTAAATTAAAAAAAACCACTACGTCTGACTATATTTCTGGGGAACGTTAGAGTATTCGACCTTCATTCTACTAGAGTCTCTATTTGCTTTTACCCGATACTATAATGGCATAGTGAGAGTTATAGCAGCATACCCCCTAATATGTGATGAGGGAATACACTATTAAGTATCTTCCAAATCCTCTAAAACCTGCTTTGCATCTATTAAGAGTAAGGCTGTAGCTGTCCGGTACGTTGGATCTATTTTGCCTTATTTACCATATTTGTCATTTCATTGAAGAGATGTGGGGACAATTGTCTACGTTGCCCTATATCTCAGCCAATCTGTGCTTAGCCCCAAGACATGCGGTTGTGCTGGCAATATGACCCCTTTGAGCCCAAAGAAAATCATGGACACTTGAAACAATAAATAACACTGGATTGGCCTTCATGCTGGGGTTCTTTTTAATTGGAGGTTTTTTCATCCATTTGGTGGAAAGACTGTTACTTGGAAACAGATAGATAGGAATTCTATACAAGTAACTGCTTTTGTGTGCTTTTAGCCCATGTTTATGGGAACATATTGTCAAGGTCAATTGCTGCCTTTCTGAACAGTAATAAAAAGCAAGCTGGCTATTGTAGTTTTTTGTATACTGAATCCAACTTAATGGACAGTGCATCACAACCTTTTCTTGAAAGTTTCCTTTCAGCTGTTCTAGCTAACAGCACCCTGAAACTTTCTTTTCATCTGCTCAGGCATTGGAGAGAAGTATTCAACATGGGAGCCAACCAAACGAGAGTTAGAATTGCTACGACACAACCCCAAGCGGAGAAAAATAACCACAAATTGCACCATAGGTAAGTCAAGGAAACAGTTTCTCAGATGATTTCTCCGCCAATTGCTCTTTCAAAGCCCCGTGATGTTTTTCTTGCCTTTCAAGGTTTAAATGCATGTTCTCAGGTTGTGTCTTACAATTGATTTTCTTTTTAAATGTGTCATGTCATCTTAATGAACGTTGTTTACTGACTTCCATCCTCTCTTCTCTATAGAAGGGTGTGTGCTGTGTCATTTCAGATACTGAAGATAGTAATTTCCATAGGAGACCTTCAAAGTTAGGAGACTCTTAAACCCTGTGTATACTAGGAAATTCTATGGGGGAAAAATCCCCACTGACAGTACCACCAGTTCAGTTGAAGTTTTAATTGACGTGGTAAAAACACTGGGAGCTGCGAGAACTAATCTACATGAGAGCTCCCATTAGTGCTACCACCAAGGCAGTTGCACCAATGGAAATTCTCTTGTTCAGACATAGCCCAAATTACATCTTCCTTTCACTTGAGAGCTTTGGTCTTTTACCAAATGGGAGCTTCAGTCTTTTTACCAGATGGGAGCTTTGACTTCTTTCCTTCTACTTTAGAGGATCCAGAGGAGAGGAACAAAAATGATAAAAAGTTTAGAAAATCTGACTATGAAGGAAGGTTAAAAAAAATGGATATGTTTAGTCTTGAGAAAAGAAGATTGAAGGCAGACCTAATAGGTCTTTAATATAATCGTCTATAGTGTTATAAAAAGGACCGTAAACAATTTTTCTCCATGTCCACTGAAGGTAAGACCAGAAGTAATTGTCTTAGTCTGCAGCAGGAGAGGTTTATGTTAATATTATAAAGTTTTTCCTAACTTTAAGGAATAGGTTACCAAGGGAGGTTGTGGAATCCCTATCATTGGAGGTTTTTAAGAACTGGCTAGACAAACACCTGTCAGGAATGGTCTAGGTATACTTGGTCCTACTTCAGCACAAGGGGATGGCCTAGATGATCTCTTGAGGTCCCTTCTGGCCTTACATTTCTATGATTCTATGTTGAAAACTCCAGAAATGAGTCTGAAGGACCCCATTTTGAACCCAAATCACATCGTCTGTTCTCCAGCTTATTTTTTAGATTTCAGTTCCTAGTTTCACAGATTCCAAGGCGAGAATGGACCATTCTGTACAAATCAAATTTTATAGCACACAAAGTTAGTTGGCTCACTTTGGAGCCAAGAACTATCTGATATGCAGGCATAATGAGAGATGGTTGGGAAACAGCTGGGGAAGAGAGGAGAAAATATGCAGAAGTTCTCACAAAATGTAGATTCTGTTTTTCCTCAAAACTGCCTGACCAGCTCTAATGATGACTAATCTGGTCAGTAATAATCCTGTGGCTGTGTTTTCTTTATAGTTTAATGCATGCTAACATTCAGTTATGAAGATTTCTGAGATTAGGATGATAACCATAGGCCCAGATTTTTACAGGTATTTAGGCATTGCTCTGTTCAGCATTGCAATGCCTAAGTCTCATTTTCAAAAGTGACTTAGGAGTTTAAGTTCCATTGTCTATCAATATAACTTAGACTCTTAAGTGCCTAAGTCACTTTTGGAAATGAGACTGAGTCAATTAGGTGTTGTAGCGCTCAGCGGCGCAATGACTAAGATTCCTTTAAAAATCTGTGCTATAGTCACTGGAAGCAGGAAGCAGTTTGTGAAGTCCTTAAATTTTGCCTCATTTTTCAAAACTACTGTAAGCATTATGTTGTAATAAAGTGTATCATCTAATGTTCACACCTTTTCACCCTCCAAAATTCTTTGGGAGTAATGATGAATAAAATAGTTTTATATACATGTTTCTAGCACAGTAGTGCATAAACAATGCAATACATGTATATAGTACCTGAAACTCTGGATTGAGAAGCAATAATGTGACTTCAAGAAAGGAAGTCAAGATCTGGAGATAGAAGAGTAATGTCAAAGAAAGGACATCTATTTTTGCAACAGCAGAGCAGAAAAAAGGGTTGAAACACACCTGGGCCTTGGACACTTCAAGCAGCCTAGGAAAGTGCTCTAAACTGAGCTGGTTTGTTCTCTCTATTGCTTGTTCATTTTGGGACGTGATTTTTTTATGAAACTGTAATACATTGTATAAGAACTATATTACCAGTTATTTGGCTAAATGAATTCTACAGGACAAATGAAAGTGGATTTGATAAAATGTTAAGGTGCATCTGACCTTTCTGAACAATGAAACATATTTGGATGTTGTTTCTCTTTCCATTTTGATGGAATGAGATGCTGATTCTTAAAAGACTTTTAATTTTTCAGTCTGTTAAAAGGGATGGTTCTGACTGCATGAAATCTTATACACACAGCATGGGGGGGAAAGTACTCATGAAACACAGGGGATAAGGGCAATGACTGATGTCTTTACTTCTGCAGGCATGCTTTTAATAATTTCTCCTACTGAGCCCTGGAGCTGTCTGTATGCCAAGATTTAAAAAGAGAAAAATATCAAAGCACCCAAGAGACTTAATGCAGTTTTGGGCTACAGTTAAAAGCAAAAGACTTGCTTTCTTTCACAAAAATACATTGGGGGTTTAACTGAAAAAAAATTGTCATTGTCCTTAAGCTTTTTCTCTCTATCCCCAGCCTATTGCTAAATATATACCTGTGTGCAGACTGAAATGCTGCAGTTACCTGGACATTCCCATTTCTCTTTTCTGATGCTCATTTCTTCAGTCATCAGGTCTTTATTGATCCATAATAGACATCTGTTTCATCTTCTGAGGTAGATAAATGAGGCAGAGAACATGCATAGATGTCTGATTGTATTGGCTCTGATAATGAAACTTACGCTGATAATCAGCTGTAAACGTCGCAAGCCTATTGATTGATTCTGTTTACATGGAGAATCCAGTTTAGACTAACCAAATGTCTTTTACCTTTTTGTAAAGCGGATTTTAAAAGAAAAAAGGCAGATACTTGCTTTCTCCCCCTCTCCCTTCCTCCTGGTGTATGCCCAGCTGGATTATGGGAATTGCATTTTGGATTTTTTTAAATTCTCAGGTATGACATGTTGAAATGGTTATTGAGCCTCTTGTTGTCAGATGCCACCGATGTGGTGCTCTGCTCTGTTCAATGTTGATAACAGTCGGCTGCGTGCATGTGTTCCCTCTGTGTGCTGCCCGGGCTCTGCAGATCACTGGCGCAACAGACCCCGAGAAAACCCCCAATGACCACAGACTCCGATAAGGTACGAAGGCATCCGGCCAGCTTTATTGTCAAACGAAGCACAGTAATAGTTTCCAGCAGACTCTACAGGACATACTACGAATATGTGCCCCTGACAATGGACACAGCTCAGTCAGTGGCGGGACACTCCACTGTCCCCTAGGCCAGACAAAGACACCGCCCCAGGGATGTATTCTTATACACAGGTACAAACAAGTTACACATCAATCCTGACCTATTGAGGTGCAACCCTTCTACGTAGCAAGGTACAGCCCCTCTACGCAGTAAGGTGCCGCCTCTCACCTTGTACATGTTGGTTCGAACAAAACAACTCTCTCCATCATATTACCCTTTTGCCCATCTTTAGGATGGATCAGCCTGTTCCTTTTTATCTCTGTGGATTGTGCAAGTATCCAAGCGTTCTGGTACCTTTTTAGGTATGTGTATTTTTGCAACATCCCCCCTTTCCTTGCCAGCTTCTGTGAGCAGGGCCTGCCTCTGGCTCACAGTTTAACTTTGCTTTATGTTAGCAAAGTCTTGACCATTACCTTAGTTCAGGCCTTAGGCCTCATACTGGGCCTCTGATACAAGGGTTTATGTTTCAGTGCCTCATCTTACTGCACCTCTGATACTGGTTCTGTATAGCTTTAACTGAGGTATACTTGTACTGTAACTAATGAGGATGGCATGGTATTCCTGGAATCCAAGACAATACAGACTTGGAATAGCTTGGAAAAATATGTACATTTGTGGGTTATCCATGGGAGAATTTTGAAAAGAGGGCTTGCCATAGGGTTTCCCCCATAGTGAGAACTCCACTAACATGGATTGTAATGTACTGGAGCTGGTTCAGAGGTCTAAAATAACCATATTTGTGGCTTCCCATTAGGTTTTACACCATTAGTCTTCAAAACAACATCACTCCAGAGTCATGTGGATTTTTAACTCCCTGCAAAGTCTGCTTTGCACTGCAAGTTATTTTCCTATTCTTGTCTTGTATTGCTGAGAAATGACCTTTTGTGGCCTCTTTAGTAGCCAACTGGCTCTGTGCACTAGTTTTTCTGAATTTCTGCACAACAGCAATATTCTTAGTCTTTCACTGGCACCATAAATTAACTATGTAGAATGAACTGCCATAAAATGAGTTTTTTATTACTGAGAACTAATAATTCACCAGTGGAAATGCTCCCTTTTATTTCAGTCAAAATAAAATTATATTTCCTTGTACATAGCAACTTGAAAATTTTGACAAGTAGTGTGTAAAGAACCTCTTTTATACATCATGAAAAGACTGATCTCCGAGATTTGTTGGATCTCACCGGCACTACAGTCTCTCTGATTTTTCTTCAAACTGGATAGCTGTATCTCTCTCACCAGAGAATGCTTCCTAACAATGAATATACACACGGTAAATATTTTGCTGAATCACTTTTGTGCCATTGTGCAGATTCCACTACAAATTAAAATAGTTCTAGTAGTGGTGCAGGCTAGAGAATCCTAAGCTTTTATTGGTTCTTGCTTTCTGGATGTTCACCAAAGAATCATCCTCACGGTTGCATTTGCCTGTCTGTGAAGTGACTTTGGGACAAATTGCTTAAGTGCCAACAGTGAGCTCAGGTGCTGATGCAAATAATGACACATGGTCCCCGCCCTAAGGATCTAATCTAGATTAGACAGGCAGTACAGTAGACCTAGAATACATAGGGTGAGTCTGCAAACTTGAAATGCTGATAGTCATTATTTAGTCTTTGCAGAATTAAATAACATCTTGGTTTTGGATTCAAGATTTACTGGTTTGATAAACTTCTGACATGCTAA